TTTTTATTTCCATTACTCTAGGAGGTGGATCAAAAAAGATCTTGCTGTGCTTTATGTCAAAGAGTGTTCTTCCTATGTTTTCCTCTAAGAGTTTTATAGTGTCTGGCCTTACATTTAGGTCTTTAATCCATTTTGAGTTTATTTTTGTGTATGGTGTTAGGGAGTGTTCTAATTTCATTCTTTTACATGTAGCTGTCCAGTTTTCCCAGCACCACTTATTGAAGAGGCTGTCTTTTCTCCATTGTATATTCTTGCCTCCTTTGTCGAAAATAAGGTGACCATAGGTGCATGGGTTTATCTCTGGGCTTTCTATCCTGTTCCATTGATCTATATTTCTGTTTTGGAGCCAGTACCATACTGTCTTGATTACTGTAGCTTTGTAGTATAGTCTGAAGTCTGGGAGCCAAAAACAGAATTTTAAATTTTATTTAATTTACATTTAGGTTTATAAATGGAACCACGGTAAAATATTTTCCCATTAAACTCAACTCTGTTGTTTTGGTAGGATTGCATTTCACTTTAACCATTTAAAATACAGCATCTAAATTGAAATGTGGTATAAGTGTGAATCGTGCACTGAATTTCAAAGACTTAGTACAAAAAAACTATCTTAATTATGTTTTACAATGTTTGCATGTTGAAATAATAATGTTTTTGATATATTAAGTAGTAAAATTTTACCAATTTCTTTTTGCTTTTAAAATGTGGCTACTATTAAAATCACACATGTGGCTCAAACTGTAATTTCTACTGGACATCACTGATACAGAGCTTTTTTTTTTTACAGTTGTATAGTATTCCATTGCATAGAGTATCATACTTTATTTAACCAGTCCCCTGTTGATGTATACTTCTTTCCAATCTTTTACCATTAAAAATACAGAAATGCTTAACCTTGTCCATGCATCACTTCATATGTGTGCAGGTTGATCTGTGAAGTGAATCTCCCATATTGAGGTTGCTTGGTTAAAGAGTAAAAGCATTCATAATTTTGATATCACCATATTGTCCTCCATAAGAGTTGTACCAGTTTGCACTCCTACTAGCAATGTGTGTATGTGCACTAGTTTCCGCACATACTGCCATTTTAAACCACAGAATCTACATGTTGGGGACGTAATAAGGAACATGTTTCTTTTTGCTAATTCTGAGAGTTTTAAGAAGAAATCACAAATGGTTTGCCTAATTTATTTTTTCATTAAACCTCCTATTGATGATAAAACTCTTAGAATCACCATTTTAGAATGGACTCTCTTTTTCCTTTTGTTACTGAAAACTGTGAAAGAATTAACCCAGTTTTCCTGGACTACAAATTTCTTTGGAAGTTGTAGCTTTTGTCATATTCAGATCTAGGAAGAGAGATTTTGTGAGAGTTCAAAAAACTTTTTCTTTTTTAAAGAGCTGTAGACTTCTCACATCCCACAGCAGCCTCCGCTGGCTGTGGTGGACTAACAGTACAAGACAGATGCAGTTGCATGGTTTTGCATACTGTCCGTTTATCAGTTCCCTGGATGAGTTCTACTGAATTGTAAACACATTCTAACTTAATGGGCTGCATAACTGAGGAAATCTACTGACAACGTAACTGAGCTTATAAGTAGCCATAATCATTAGACAGTCCACTCCATTTACTTTGTTAGTAAACTACAGAAAAAGTTTATCTTTACACCTTTAGGATCCAGCAGTTGTCCCTCTTTTGAGGCTTGTGTGCCCTCTACTGCCCTCTTTGCCTTTTTGTTTCTTCAGATTGAAATGAAGAACTAACCATTCAGCATCCAAAACCAAATTGCTTCAAGTTTTCCATTCATAGGAATCTGAAAATAAGAGTCTCATGAAAATCTCACTATATAGTTGGGGATATGGCAGATAACTTAATAAATGAGTATAATGGAAACTCTTGGCTTCCAGAGATTATAAACTCACATTTTGGCAAATTCTAGAGGCATAGAAATGTGTCTTATAGCAAATATGACTATGGGCATTTACTGTCTTTAATAGTTTATTGATTTTCAATATGAAAAGGTTAAGAAAAGGAATAAAAGCTGAGACTATTAATGTTGATCGTGATGTAGGAAGAACACTAAGGACACTGGGACTCACTGGAAGGGTCATCTTTGGTAATTGGTAATATTGAGTCATTTCTATTGTGCTTAAGTTACAGAATAAATAAATAGACAACTTTCTAATAGGAGGCAGCTGCACCATAGCTATTCTTCATGTCCCTTTTTGCTTCTGTTGCTAATTTTGTTTAATTATTTTGTTTCAGGAAGGGTTTTCACTCATTGGTAGCAAGAACTGGTTGAAGATTGTAAGACGCGTGGATTGTCTGTTGTTTGGAACAACGATAAAGGCAAGATGCTTTGTGGCCAACTGTTTTTTGTTTTTGTTTTTGCGGTACGCGGGCCTCTTACTGTTGTGGCCTCTCCCGTTGCGGAGCACAGGCTCCGGACGCGCAGGTCCAGCGGCCATGGCTCACGGGCCCAGCCGTTCCGCGGCATGTGGGATCTTCCTGGACCGGGGCATGAACCAGTGTCCCCTGCATTGGCAGGCGGACTGAGCCACCGCGCCACCAGGGAAGCCCATGGCCAACTGTTTTTAAGCAACTGATCATACCCTTCTTATCTGCTAAGTGTGTATGGGAGTGGCATTATGAGCAAAACATGAAACAAGGAGTGTTAAGAGGCAGAAGCATTGTTAGTAAGGATTTTGCTGAAGAGCAAGGGCTTTGATTGATCTGTCAGTACCTGTCTGACAGAGCTGTGCAACCATTTTCCATCCCCCAGCACAAAATGGGAGGAGGTGGAATTACATCATTGTTTGTCTTGCTATTTAGATGTTTAAAAGGTGTGCATTTTCAAATACTTTGCTAAATATGTCTTTTCATTTTTTCTCTGTAATACTAAATAATAAAATTCCCTTTTATTTGCTTCCTAGCTGTATTAAACATAAAGAGTGATCCTCATCAAAGCAACATGAAGACTAGTCACCTGGATTATTTTCTTTCAGAAATAACTATAAAAACCAATCTGTTAACATTCACTGACTAGATAATATTGAAATTTAGGTAAAAGATCATAATTTTTAATGGGCTCATAGACTGAGAGTTGAAAGAGGTCTTCAAGAGCATCTAATAGGAGGGTCTTTATCAGTCCCTCCAGAGGATTCTCAGAGAATTCAGAAGGTCCATGAACTGCATGGATTTTCACTGACTTTTTAAAAAAATTATTAATTTATTTATTTTTGGCTGCATTGGGTCTTTGCTGCTGCACGTGGGCTTTCTCTAGCTGCAGCAAGTGGGGGCCACTCTTGGTTACGGCACGTGGACTTCTTATCGCAGTGGCTTCTCTTGTTGCGGAGCACGGGCTCTAGGCCCACGGCTTCAGTAGATACGGCGCGCCACGGGCTCTGTAGTCGTGGTGCCTGGGCTTAGTTGCTCCACAGCATGTGGGATCTTCCCGGACCAGGGCTCAAACCTGCGTCCCCTGCGTTGGCAGGCGGATTCCCAGCCACTGCGCCACCAGGGAAGTCCCTTCACTGACCTTTAACTGAAATATATCATTTCCTTCAATTATGAATGTTGACATCAGACCACATTTGCACCAGTAGAAATCACATATCTTCATATCACGTTTCAGTTGTTTAAGATATCTTAAATGTCATTTATGCTCATCACTACCCCAGTATTATGGTGGTTGTTAGTCCTGCTGCTAGATCTTTTTATTGAGTACATTAGTAAGGAAGCATGTATATTATTAGTTTACAAATTAGTGTTTTAATATTGTAATGAATTATTTCAGTATACTTGGTTTCTTTTGTACTCTTCTATATTTTATGTGATTAAAAACATTGTTCTGAGAAGGGGTCCTCTGGCTTCACCAGACTGCTGAAGGGGTCTGGAGCACATACTCAAAACATTCAGGAGCCCGTTTTCATTTTACATGTGAGGAAACTGAATTCAACATAAGCCAATAGCCAACTAGCTGTCAGAAAGCTGGGCCACCCATTGGTCTTTTGACTTCCAGCCCAGGACTGTCATGCTGCATGAATTTAGGTGTCTTAAAAAGTTACACCATGCCATATGTCTGATATTTGAGTTTTAATTTTTTCCTGATTATGTTAAATTTTTAAATTAAAGAGAAAAATAAAAACTAATTGATCACTCAAAAATAATAACACTTTGAAGTTTTTACTAGGCATATATATTGTATCCATAGGATAGTGTTCAGATGCATGTGACAGAAAATCCACATATAATGGCCCCCCAAAATAGGGGGTTATTTTTTTGACTATATGAAATCCAGAAGCAGGCAGTAGCTAGCAATTGGCTCAGCAACTCCACCCTGCTGAGGTCAACACCTTTGCAATTCCCTTGGCCTCTCCCTCACATTTTCAAAATGGCTACTACAGCTCTGTTATATTTCCATTCATAGGAGACCAGCTTCATCTGTTCCTTTTGTAAGGAAAACATAAACTTTCCTGTAAGGCTCTCCACCTCCCGCAACCCCTGACAGATGTCTGCTTCTGTCTCATGGACCAGAACAGTGTACTGTGGCCATCCCAATCTGCCAAGATTAGCAAAGGAGTGTTTGGCTTTTCCAGCCTCTGGTGTGGATTGGCTCATGGCAAATGAACAGTGTCTGCCATATAGATAATTTATAAATTTGGGATTGTGGTACACAGAGTGCTTTGTATCCCACTTTCCTCATGTAACGTTATATCTGGAACATTATACCAAGTCATTTCTTAAGTCTTTGAAAACATGATTTTCCATGACTACCTAGTATTTTTACTGTTTGGAAGCACTATGAATCAGTTAAGTAATTCCTGATTTTTCACTACTGTAAAAATGTTTTGATTTTCATAAGGATTTATTTACAGGGTTCTTGAGATAAAAGTACTAGAAGTATGAATGTTTATCTTGTAAATGTGCCTTCCAGATAGGTTGTCCCTGTTTCTGCAGCACTAATGATATGTAAAGATGCTCATTTAGCCACATCCTCTCCAACTGGATGATATAATTTAAATTTAAAAACAAGTTTCCAATTTGATCAGCAAAAATGAGCATCTTCGTTTAATATGCATTTCTTTGGTAACTAATGGGAATATTTTTTGTGTGTTTCTTAGCCATCTGTATTTCTTCTGTGAATCACCTGTCTACTGCTTTTGCCTAATTTTCCTCTTCAAAATCTTTACTCTATATATAGAGATTATAGATGTTATATAGAAAAAACATGTATTTTGTGTAGTTATATAATTTTATATGTGATAGTTGTATATATATCATATACAGATGTTTAAATATTTAAGTTTAGGATCCTTTTGTTATTGTGAATGGTATTCTTTATCCCAAACATATTTCTAGCTGCTATTACTAGATTTTTTCTGAATTATTTTAAATTTAGCTTCCTTACTAAACTTTTATTAGCTCTGATAATTTAACTTTTAGGAAAGTAATTTTATAATCTGCAAACAGTGGTAATTTACTTCCCATAGTTTGTACTTACTTTTCTCACCTTACTGAGTTATCTAGACCTTCCAGAACACTGTAATTAGACAACTCTACAGCCATCCTTGACATCTTACTGACTTGAATGGGAACCAGTACTTAGACATTAAGAATATTTCTGGCTGTTGATTGGATATTCTTTACTATGTTAGGGAGGTAGTCTTTCAGATATAGTTTATTTACTAATACTTTTATCAGGATTACAAATTAAATTTTAACACCTATCAAGATCATGATTTGTTTCATTTTTTTTTTAATCCTTTGATCTATTGATATATTAATATTGAGCCAACAGATTCTTCTTTTTGCCTTACCTTGCAAAGGGTACACAACTTGAGTGCTTCTTGCCTTGGATAACTTTTAGTTAACCAAGTATTACATAACAAATATTCTTGTTTAAATTGACAAATAGAAGTATTTTGAAATAAAACTTTGATTCCTTTGACAGAAATTTAAAACTTAAATTCAGGGGGCAATAAAGATTATATTTCTTTTCCCAATTTCTACATAGAGGAGTTCACTTCTAGTGGTGGGGAAAACTGCTCCGGTGGGCTCCTAGTGGTGATGGGAAATTTCTTATACATCTGGATGATGAGTCTAAAACCAGCAGGAAAACATGCCTATGTTTGTGAGGATTTTCATGTCTCCTTGGCTGTCTTCCTACATGGTGCTAACTGGGCCCTGCGTCTTCCTGTGTGCTATACCCTGTAACATTAGCTATCTGCATGGAGATGCCATTCACACTTGTGAGTCAGCATTTAATTGGCCCAGTGCTTCCCAGATTTCTTGTGTGTACGTGAAGATAAATGTACAGAGACAAGCACTTACCCTTGTTTCCTCAAGGAGTTTTCTATTAGCAGGGGTTGGGACTCCATGCTTTCACTGCCAAGGGCCCGGGTTTAATCCCTGGTAGGGGAACTGAGATCCCACAAGTCGTGTGGCGTGGCCAATGTGTGTGTGGGGTGTGTGTGTGTGTAATTTTGAGCTAATCTCCATAGATGATAGACACTGGAGACTGTTTATTTGGGACAGTTCATGGCTGTTAGTATATACTTGAAAAACTTTCATTTCACAACAAGGAGCTCTTTAATTATGGTATAAAAATAAATCTCATCAAGATTTTCAACCTAGGAGTCCTTTTTGTTAACCATGTGGCAGGTTTTCTATTGTGACACTAAGGATGTGGGGTGAAGATATCTAATTTTCAGATTTTTCCTGATGTACCTTGGCTTTATCTTGGGTCCACATGTATTGAAGTGGTATTTCTGGTTTCTGATGATAAGCTCAAATTCTGTCTGAGAATTTTACAGAAGCAAACATGGAGCAAAACATCAGTTAGGCTATCAGACATAAAACCTTCCCTGTCATTTCTTGGAACTACATTTCAAAGAAACCCTTAACTGTCTGAACTCATTCTTATGTACACTCACCTATATATGTATATAGATACCTCTAGACAAGTGGTCTGAGATTTCTGCCCTACTTATGTACTTAATAATTGTGTTTCAACATATAGCTTTCATCTAGCTATGAGGCATAATTTTTTATGTGATTAGTTCTCAAAAGGTTAGATAATTACAGAATCATCATGGAAATAGCTAATATAAAGGTATTTCATATAGATGTCCCCAGGTACAGTCTAAACTAGGGTGAGCTGGAAACAACTAATTAATTGTAAACAAGAAAGCTAGTTTCACAGAAGATTCATAGAATTACCAAAAACCGAATGTAGAGTTCTCTTATCAGTTCTTTCCCCTTCCTTAAGGAAAGTTAGCTTTCAGACTCTTGATAATTTGGGGATTATTCATCCAAGAGAAAAATGGCTGAGGAAATGAATAGGCAATACACAAAAGAAAAAATACGAATGACTAATACATATAAGAAAAATATTCATATTTTTTCATTGTTGGAGGGGGCAGTGATAATGGGTTACTTTTATACTCAGGAGAAAAAAATTAAATGTATTAAAAAATGAAGAGAACCCAACAGAGGCAGTAAAGGGGGAGTGGTGTCTATTCTTCTAGACATGATACCTTACCACTACTTAGCCATGCCAAGTTTTCTATATCCTAAAGATGTGGCTTTGCTTGATGGCTTTATCTAAAAATTTAAATAGGGTAAACTGTGAATAGGAAAATCAAGGATTTTCACTTATAGGAACTTTCAGGATTTTAACTGTGGTTAGAAACATTTTCCAGTTAGCAGTGTGACTTGTGTATTTAATAAATGAAAAATGCTGTTACTGTTAGCATCTGAATTTCTTCACAGAAGAAACTGAACAAAGGTACACAATACATACCACCCATTTGGGGTGGCTTTTGTGTAAGCTGAGTCCTCTAAAACTAGGCAGGATATCACACTAGAAAAAGGAGACTACTTCTATTAAAATAATGGGTTTATTGTTGTTGTTACAATTTAGTTCTATTTTTAAACTTACAATTAAATAAATTTGATGTAGTTGCCACTTTTAAAAATTTTAATTGCATCTCTCCCATATTTGCAGACTTGCCAGGGGATGTAACTCATACAGCAAATTAAAGGCAACATGTGATTCATTTGTCTGTATGATTTGTATGTTAAGTCTGGCCTCTTTAAGGATAAAGGGCACTACAGATTATTAATAGGAGATACATTAGCTCTCAGCATTTGCCTGTCCCCTTATCCCCAGTTTTGTTTTTCAAATTCACTGGCTTGTTTAATGTGGTATCTACTTGGTTAGCTCTTTTATATACTCAGGTTTGGAAAATTTTGTTGAGCCAGGACTATTAGCTTCACTGATTTTTCACCTGAGGAATTAGATGGTATGAAACCTTTGTTCCAAAGTAAGACAAAACATTGATCTTTTACTGCAGTCAGTATAGTGACCTTCCTGGTCTTTATGATGTGGGCTTTTCCATTTTTGCTGATTTCTGCCAGTTCCTTGAGGGAAATAAATTTAGTATGAGGAACAGCTCCCAAAAGGGAGAAGAAAACTAATGACTTTTCTATACCCACATCAACAATCTAGGGTAACTACGCCCTTATTCATACCTCTTCCCCTTCAAACAAAGGGAAGACCTCACAGTAAATAAAAGTAAAGTGATAGGACACGAGGGTCACTGAGCGTATCTTTTGATTTGTCACACAGAACAAGAGTCGTATGTTCCGGGTGCAGTTTAGTGGAGGCTCAAAGGAGCAGGCGCTGGAACACTGCTGCAGCTGCGTGCAGAACCTGGCCCAGTACCTCACTGTCCAGGTGCCTGACGGAATCAGCCAGGAGCTCAGGCTGAGTCCTCGCCCACTGTGGACAGGTGAAAGCCAACGGAAGGGCTGTGTGCAGAGCATCCCACCACAGCATGACGTAAGTAGGCGAGGGTGTGGCTGTACAAGAAACCCGACAAGTTAACGCTCTATGGGGGCCAAAATCACAGTGGAATTTGCTGAGTCCACCAGGTTTGTAAGTTAAGGATATCTAATATTGAGTGACTTATTTTTATTGAATTAGTTTCAGGTGTACAGTATAGTGGTGATAGTTTTATACATTACAAAATGATCACAGTAAGTCTAGTTACCATCTGTCACCATACAAAGTTATTAAAATATTATTGACTATATTTCCTATGCTGACATTAGATCCGTGACTCATAACTGGAAGTTTGTGCCTCTTAGTCCCTTTCACTTAGTTTGCCCATTGCCCCCCACTCTGCAACCACATTTGTTCTCTGTATTGATGAGTCTGTTTGTTTCATTTGTTCGTTTGCTTTGTTTTTTAGATTCCACATATTTTAGTGTGTATATATACCTCATTTGTGTATATATTCCGTTGTGTGTGTGTGTGTATACATATACACACACAGACCTCATCTTACCCAGTCATTTATTGATGTACACATAGGTTGCTTCTGTATCTTGGCTACTGTAAATAATGCTGCACTGAACACAGGGGTGCATACATCTTTTATTAGTGTTTTTGTTTTCTTCGGATAAATACCCAGAGTGGAATTACTAGATCATATGGTAGTTCCATTTTTAATTTTTTGAGGAACTACCATACTGTTTTGCATAGTAGCTACCAATTTACGTTCCCACCACCTGTGCATGAGTTCCTTTTTCTCCACATCCTCACTGACACTTACTATTTCTTGTCTTTCTGATGACAGCCATTCTGACAGTTGTGAGGTAATATCTTGTGGTTTGATTTGCATTTCCCTGATGATGAGTGATGTTGAGCATCTTTCCATGCCCCTCAGGCAAGGGCAACAAAAGCAAAAATAAATAAATGGGACTGCATCCAACTAAAAAAAAGCTTTGCACAGTGAAGGAAATCCTCACCAGAACAAAAGGTCAACCTATTGAATGGGAGAAGGTATTTGCAAATGATACATCCAACAAAGGGTTAATATCCAAAATTACAAGAACTCATACAACTCAGTATCAAAAAAAACCCAAACAATCTGATTAAAAATTGGGCAGAGGACCTGAATAGACATTTTTTCCAAAGAAGACACTGATTTTTTTTTTTTTTTTTTTTAAATTCAAGGTTGAGTCTCACTGTAGCTACCTGTAATACTAGAAATTAGATTAGCTGGGAGTCCCAGGTGTGTTATGGTTGTCACTATAGAACAGTGGTTCTCAAAGCATGATCCACGGACCCTTCCCTGAGACCTTTTCCAGGGTCCATGATGTCCACAGCATTTCTGTAATAATATTAAGATGTTGTTTGCCCTTTTGCTGTATGGATATTTGTGTTAATGGGACAAAAGCATTGTGAGCAAATCTGCTGTCACCTTAGCACAGATCAAGGCAGTGGCATCCAACTGTATGCAGTCAGGTTTTTCTCTGGTCACTGAAGTAAGAACCAACTAAAAAAAACCATCTGTATTGAAGCACAATGGCTTTCTCCTGGGAAAGCACCTGTATGAATGCATTGGGTGCTGAACCACCTCTTTCTTCACGGAACATCGTATTACTTGGACAACGGACAAACTCTGGTTATTCATATTTGGGTGTTTGGTGACATTTTCTCGAATGAAGTGAGCCTGTCATTTTAAGAAAACAACTGATAGTATTTATCGATAATGATGAAATAAGCTTTTCGAGTGAAAATTAAAATCCTGGAAAACTTGTATCTGCCACTTGAGCTTCACAGCTTCCTAACCCAGAAGACCTTCCTGATGGTACTACTAATGAACGTGATTTTTAAAATAATTAAGTGCAAAATGTTTCAACATTTGGGAGATCTGTATAGTCCAGCGAACCAGTATTTTTCAAGTAACGAATACATGATGCTACAAAATCATGCATGGATGAAAGACCCAATCACTGTAGCAATACTAGAAATTAGATTAGCTGGGAGTCCCAGGTGTGTTATGGTTGTCACTATAGAACAGTGGTTCTCAAAGCATGATCCACGGACCCTTCCCTGAGACCTTTTCCAGGGTCCATGATGTCCACAGCATTTCTGTAATAATATTAAGATGTTGTTTGCCCTTTTGCTGTATGGATATTTGTGTTAATGGGACAAAAGCATTGTGAGCAAATCTGCTGTCACCTTAGCACAGATCAAGGCAGTGGCATCCAACTGTATGCAGTCAGGTTTTTCTCTGGTCACTGAAGTAAGAACCAACTAAAAAAAACCATCTGTATTGAAGCACAATGGCTTTCTCCTGGGAAAGCACCTGTATGAATGCATTGGGTGCTGAACCACCTCTTTCTTCACGGAACATCGTATTACTTGGACAACGGACAAACTCTGGTTATTCATATTTGGGTGTTTGGTGACATTTTCTCGAATGAAGTGAGCCTGTCATTTTAAGAAAACAACTGATAGTATTTATCGATAATGATGAAATAAGCTTTTCGAGTGAAAATTAAAATCCTGGAAAACTTGTATCTGCCACTTGAGCTTCACAGCTTCCTAACCCAGAAGACCTTCCTGATGGTACTACTAATGAACGTGATTTTTAAAATAATTAAGTGCAAAATGTTTCAACATTTGGGAGATCTGTATAGTCCAGCGAACCAGTATTTTTCAAGTAACGAATACATGATGCTACAAAATCATGCATGGATGAAAGACCCAAAGTGCAAAATAGGGACTTCCCTGGTGGTGCAGTGGTTAAGAATATACCTGCCGATGCAGGGGACATGGGTTCAATCCCAGGAAGATGCCACATGCCACGGAGCAGCTAAGCCCATGCACCACAACTACTGAGCCTGCGCACCCTGGAGCCCACGCACCGCAACTACTGACCCCATGTGCCATAACTACTGAAGCCCGCACGCTGTAGGGCCCATGTGCTGCAACTACTGAGCCTGCATGCTGTGACTGCTGAAGCCCACACGCCTAGAGCCTGTGCTCATCAAGAGAAGCCACCGCAATGTGAAGCCCACGCACTGCAACGAAGAGTAGCCCCTGCTCGCTGCAACCAGAGAAAGCCTGCACGCAGCAACAAAGACGCAACACAGCCAAAAAGAAATTAAAGGAAAAAAAGAGTAAAAAGATAACAACAAATTTTTCAAAGTGCAAAACAGACTAATGGATTCTATTTATTTACTTTTGTACCCCTTAATCTCCCTCACCTATTTCACTCGTTCTCCTTCCCCATCTCCTCCGGTAACCATCTGTTTGTTCCCTGTATCTATGAATCTGTTTGTTTTGTTTTGTTCATTTGTTTTTTAGATTCCACATGTGAGTGAAATCATAAAGTATTTGTCTTTCTCTGACTTACTTCTTTCAGCATAATACCTCTGAGTCCATCCATGTTGTCACAGATGACAAGATTTCATTCTTTTTTATGGCTGAGTAATATTCGTTTGTATGTATGTGTGCTTGTACCACATCCTCTTTGTCCATTCATCTATCAGTAGACACTTAGGGTTAGTCTGCTTCCATATCGTGAATAATGCTGCAGTGAACATAGGGGTGCATGTATCTTTTTGAATTAGTGTTTTTGTTTTCTTTGGAAAAATACCCAGAGTGGAACTGCTGTATCATACGCTAGTTCTGTTTCTAATTTCTCTTCAATAAATAATGTTGCGAAAACTGGACTACTTTTTCATACCATATACAAAAATAAAATCAACATGCATTAAAGACTTATGTAAGACATGAAACCATTAAAACTCCTAGAAGAAAACACAGGCAGTACACTCTTTGACATCAGTCCTACCAATATTTTTATGGGTCTGTCTCCTCAAGCAAGGGAAACAAAAGCAAAACTAAACAAATGGGACATCAAAGTAAAAAAGCTGTTGCACAGCAAGGGAAACTATTAACAAAATAAAAAGGCTGCCTACTGAATGGGAGAAGATATTTGCAAACAATATATCTGATAAGGGGTTAATATTCAAAATACACAAAAAACTCATACAAATCAACATTAAAAAAATAATTACAAAATGAGCAGAGAACCTGAACAGATTTTCCAAAGATATATGGATGGCCGACAGACACATGGAAAGATGCTTAGCATCACTCATCATTAGGGAAATGCAAATCAAAACCACAATTCAAGCTCAAGATGGTGGAGAAGGATGTGCTCTCACCCCTTCTTACGAGAACACCAGAATCACAACTAACAGCTGAACAACCATTGACAGAAAAATGCTGGAACCTACCAAAAATGATACCCTATATCCAAAGACAAAGGAGAAGCCACAACAAGACGGCAGGAGGGGTGCAACTGCAATAAAATCAAATCCAATACCCACCAGGTGGGCAACCCACAAAGTGGAAAACAATTATACCACAGAAGCTCTTCCACTGGAGCAAAAGTTCTGAGCCCCACTTCAGGCTTCCCAGCCTGGGGGTCCAGCAACGAGAGGAAGAGTCCCCAGAGAATCTGGCTTTGAAGGCCAGTGAGATTTGACTGCAGGACTTCCACAGGACTCAGGGAAACAGAAAATCCACTCTTGGAGGGCACACACAGTCCTGTGCGCACCAGCACCCTGAGGGAAAAAGCAGTGACCCCACAAGAGACTGGGCCAGACCTACCTGCTACTATTGGAGGGTCTCCTGCAGAGGTGGGGGGAGGGGGTGGCTGTGGCTCACTGTGGGGACAAAGACACTGGCAGCAGCGGTTCTGGGAAGTACTCACTGCCATGAACCCTCACAGAGGCCACCATTAGCCCCACCAAACAGCCTGGAGGCGCCAGTGCTGGGCTGTCCCAGGCCAAACAACCAATAGGGAGAGAACACAGCCCCACCCATCAGCAGACAGGCAGATTAAAGTTTTACTGAGCAGGCCCTGCCCACCAGAGCAAAAAGACCCAGCTCTACCCACCACCTGTCCCTCCCATGAGGATGCTTGCACAAGCCTCTTAGATGGCCTCACACACCAGAGGGAAGACAGCAGAAGC